CTTGGTAAAATTTAGAATAGTCCCTTTTCTCATTCTGTAAATACCGCTGTGTTTTAAGACTGAAGACTCATCTCTGCAGGCTTAGCCTTGCTTAAGAGTAAATCATTTGCAAATGTCAACTTTAATGTAAAGAGTGTGCAGCTTGAACAATACCAAGGTTTTGAAATCCCACAGACTTTAAATGGTATCTGTGAATAGCTGACTTATAAACAAGGCTAAGCCTGTTCAAATGAGTTTGTRGTYTTCAAAAACAGCGGTAAAAAGAAAACTAAAGTTCTGCTCCATGAAAAAGTATCAAGGCCTCTTGTTGTGTCTGCCTTCAATTCATTACAGGGTAATAATCTATGTAATACCATCCTTAATAATTGATCACATCTTGATGCAAGACTTGGATCCTGACATAATGAAGGAGTTCTACAAGAATGAGAGTTCTGATGTCAAGCATGTGACAAAGGTAGAATGTGATTTCCTTTCATTTCTAACAATTATACAATATATTTTATGGGAAGCGCAGGTGTAATAGCGGTAAGAGCACAGCCTCTCACCATTGCGGCCCAGGTTCAATTCCATATTCCTGAAATCAATGTGCTATATGATAATTTAGAGTTTCTAGCTGGCTTTCTTCTGTGCCTTGAGAGTTTTTCTCTGGGTTGTCCTGTTTTTCCTACTCCCGGGAAAAAAAAACCGATTCCCAAATTGGGAATTTGTTGGGAATTTCCTTGAATTCCCAACGAATTCCCATCCAATTCCCAGAGAGAACAAAATTTGGAACGTGGCACTGATTCTCAATGTTAGTTTGTTGGGAATTTTGTTTTTTCTATTGGGTATTTAAGGAAATTCCCAACAATAAATCCCTACGTTGGTGTTGGAATTGGGGATTCAAGGAAATTCCCAATTTGGGAATCCAGTTTTTTTCCCCTGTGAGGAATAAAAGCCACTTTTTAGAATCCCTGATAAGATTCCTATAATTATCTTATATTAAATGCTCTGCTTGGAATTTTTTGAAACTTTAATTTATAGTGAAAGGTTACTTTCAATCAGCTGATTGAATTTAAAAAATAARTTTATTATAACACGCTCAAATATTTGTGGGTTTGTAAAAGACCTGTGAATACTTACACACTTATTATTGATACATCATTAGAAACAGATTACTAATGAAGATCACATTTTCATGGCTTATTATCCAGATATCAGGCATTAAGGACTTCATTCCAGAGGCTTTGATTGATGATGCATTGTTTGACCCCTGTGGTTACTCCATGAATGGACTTATCAATGTTAGTATACATTTGTATATGTTGGTATTGCAATTAGGAGAGAGCTGCCAATATAAACCCATATTTTTGGCTCAGAATTTCCTCGCAATACGAACATCATGCTACAAAATTCATTGTGATTTTGAATCACCAAYGAGGGTTTATGTTGACAGAGTTGAAAGTATTAATCCTGTATTGGCCATTTTTGCTTTACAACTACCCAGACTGTACAAGCAATACAGGATATTTTCTCACAACTCCTGCCATTATAAACCTGTATTGGCAGCTCAGAATCGCAATAACTTATGTTACTCCATTTTATACTCCACTCTTATATAGAGTCCAAGTTTAAGTTGGAGTACTCAGCGCATAGCAAAACTGTAGTTTAAGATACGCAGCAACTCCAACCTTCCAACATTGACTTGGAACTATTATTCATGATCACTGAACAGATTTTTAATATTATAGTTCTTTGGGGAAATGAAACATTTCCCAATGCAAAACCACATACATTGATTCTGCCCCTCAAGATGGCTGCCTTAAAACCCTCTCCAAGGGATTCTTTAATACATGACCACAGAACATCCTTGAAAGTGGTTAGATTAGATTTGAAATTATACTAGACATCTAGTATCTATAAAACTGAAGGTTGGGTGGGGGGGGGGATGGGGGGTAGGGGGGTGAGACATTGAGACATGAACGTTTAGTGTGGTTGTTAGCAAAATGCCATGAGGCTAAAGCACCTCCTCCTTGACTTTTGTTTTGCATCACATGTACACAACATTTATTGCTGAATATGTTTTCTCTTGTTACTKCAGGAAAGTTATTTCACCATTCATATCACACCCCAAAAAGAGTGCTCTTATGTTAGCTTTGAGACAAACTTCAAACTTGTAAGTACATTTGCAGTTGTGTATTGCACATTAAAAAGTGCCACGGGAATGCTTGTTAACGTCAGTGCGGCAGCTGTAGTAACAATCATTCATCAACAGTTATCATCATCCGCCATCATCATGAGGGCCATAATCAACCATTATCATGAGGGCCATAATCAGTCATCATCATGAGGGCCATAATCAGTCATCATCATGAGGGCCATAATCAGCCATCATCATGAGGGCCATAATCAACCATTATCATGAGGGCCATAATCAACCATTATCATGAGGGCCATAATCAACCATTATCATGAGGGCCATAATAAGCCATTATCATGAGGGCCATAATCAACCATTATCATGAGGGCCATAATCAGTCAACATCATGAGGGCCATAATAAGCCATTATCATGAGGGCCATAATCANATCATGAGGGCCATAATAAGCCATTATCATGAGGGCCATAATCAGTCATCATCATGAGGGCCATAATAAGCCATTATCATGAGGGCCATAACCAGTCATCATCATGAGGGCCATAATCAGTCATCATCATGAGGGCCATAATCAGTCATCAACATTTGGGCCATAATCAGCCCTTTTTCATGCTTTTTTATTTATCATCTATCAAATATGTTTTTGAAGGTTTTTCATGAAGCAGTCAACAATCAATTATTTCTTTCCTTGCAGGTTTGTTATAAGGATTTAATCAACAAAGTGTTGTGTGCTTTCAAGCCAGCCAAATTTCTAATGACCTTGTTTGCTAATAAGGTAAGAATCAAACTAAATATTTAAGTTTACAAAATTAAATATAAATCTCTGTGGTCTACCTGTGGAGACCCGTTACCAAAGGAAACCCAATCCAACTCATGTGTTGTCTTGTATATTATAGGATGCACCGTGTAGTCCTTCAATCAAAACATTTGAAAACATAATAACAGGCTACAAAAGAGAAGATTTTCAGTTGTGCAAGATGAAAGAATACAACTTGAGTTATGGACACTTTAAGAAGGACACGACCAGTCCTATTAGCTGAGACAGGACAATTGTGCATGTCAATAACACCCTATGAGTAGAAAATAATATATAGATCWTAATCAGGATTCCCAGGGTTCAGGGAAAAGTCAGGGGAAAAAAGTCAGGGAAAAGTCAAGGAATTTTTTATTTAGTCAGGGAAATTGCGATTTTCACCTAAAGTTAGGGAATTTTGTTTAAAGTTAACCATGAGTATCCGTGTGATACTCATACTGTTTGCAATTTTCGAATAGACTGATAAATCTTTTCAAGTAATGAAAACAATATTGAAGTATCCTGTGTAATATGATAAGAGCAGGGCCTAGGTAAAAGTTAGGCATGTGGCCCATGCTTGCCCGTGCGGCTCAA